CTGTCGCAATAGAGTACTCTGAGAGGGTTGTCTCCCTTCTGTGGTGCTTAGTTTCAACTAGACCTTCCATGCCATATTTCGAAAGGCGGGAAGATGCTTACCGATCTATTCCTGCCAACAAAGAAAAGGGCTAAGGAAATGGTTACTCATGAAGGAGAACTTTTGCGTGCCAGGTATTTGCATGAGTAAAGAAGAAGGATGTTCGAGCATCGGATCAGTTTATTCATCATCCTGCGCTTTTGAACTCTTACAGGAGTCCATCGTCAGAGATAAGAAACAGCAACAAAAGAGGGGCTATTTATAGTGTTTGTACACGAATCAACTGTGAAGGGAATGGTTACTTTTCGTTTATGACTGCTGATCCTGGCAGCTAACAAAAAGTTCATGGCAGTCTCCCTTGTCTCAGCCAATCATGCGCATTTCGTCGTCATTGCTAACAAGACCGATATGCCTGTTTCCATTCTTTTGCCAAGCTGTATGGCCGCCATCTAGCCGAGGTATCCTAACGGTCGTTTGTCTTTTGCCTTCGGGCCGTAGGAGCGGAATATCTTTGAAAAAATGCCCTTATCTGGGAGGCTCCAAATACTTCAGCAAAGTTTTTTCCGAATCTGGAAATGTTCCTTTCCTGTGGAACTCGTAAATCCCTTCCATAAGTCTCAGCACAACATTTTACCCTTTTATTAGAGGCTTGTTGCGTCTCTAATAACTAAAAAGTTATCTCAAGAAGCTTAGAGGAAAATACGAGTGCAATTCGAAATCACATCTCGTGCTTACATGTGCTAAAAGTTTAACTTTGGGGACTGGCTAGTTAATAAGTCGGTAAGGATTATATATATGACTCCCTAACCAGGACATGGGAATAGAAACTTCGAACCCAAGTATGACTGGGCCCTATGAATAATGCCAGGAGGCGTGAATATTCCTGCTTCCTAAACATAACACTAACTTCAACTCAAATATTTTACGTAGCCCTAATCTTAACTCTAGTCCTACCCTAAACACTAACCTTAGAGTAAACAATAAACGTACTCTTAATTCTAACTTACCTTAACGGTAACCCTAAGCCTAAACTTAAACCCTACCTTAAACTTGACTCCAAATCCAGTTCTCCCCTTTTCCTTAGAATTTGGCGCAAAAGCACCTGCGTTGCGTCTGGATCTTTGTCTCTTGTCCTGTTAAGGGGGCCGTATAAATACTCCTTACCCACTAGTCCTGTTCTGCCCTAATCTACCTGGTATTTTCTCAAAATGCTGTGTTTCCATAAGAGCATTCATTGGTGGTTGATTTCCTTATTAGGCTAATCGCACTGGGACTGTTCTTCTCTTATCTAACCGAGCCGATTTCGCCCGTAGTTACTGGCTAGGATTATTTTCCACGAAAATGCCTTCGGTCTGACAGTGTTCACCCCCCCCCATTCTCTCTATGCGATCTAGTTGTCCACTACTGGCCAAAATAAGTCAGGGTCACTTGAGTTGGGATTTGGGGGACAGTTTGACAGATTTATTATTTTAAGTCTCTCCCAAGTAAACAAGACCTCTCCCAGACAGTCCCATCTGTCACAGTAAAGTAAGCTGAATGAAACGAGACTTTGTCTGGCCTGACATTTCGAATACCCTATTCAAATCACCACCAGAGACGACAGCAGGCGGTGGTAGCGGTTAACAGTGGAAATGTGAAAGTATTTGCACGCGACTACGTACACACTAAACTTAACAACCCTCTCATTCGTGCTTATTGCGACCATGGCTTGGTTATTCACATCGACATTGCAAATGACCATGACTTCAATTCTAGTGCTGATAATTGGCACAAGAATTATTTGACAGTTCGGTTCGCTAGTACTGTCGTCGGAATCACTGTTCATCTGCACTATGCCCACTGGACGAATAGTTCAGCCCAGGTTTTTAATTTGGTCGAAGTTGAAAGAGAGACCGAGTTCCCTTGAGGAAGCCACGACTTGAGAATTGACATGACTTCTCCGCCTCCTCGATGTAGACGCGTTCGACCATCCGAGTCAAGAATAATCATCCTGTTTCCCCAGCAAGCTAGCCGTCCGTTGGGTTTTCTGACGTCTTCTCATCTGGTAACCCACTTAACGAAGGAACACCCATCAGCAAGACGCTTCTTTGTATCTGAAGTGTCCGAGGCTTAAACGGGTACGTTACCTAGCAAGTACACCTGACTGGCGCCCGTCCATGCTGGTCTAGGATGCTGTGGGTAGTTTACTTGCTGCACATTTCTTTGCCATGTCAGAGAGCGGAGTGCTGAGATAAGTTTTCTTTTTTCTTCCCCATGGTAATCCGCTAATAAACCACTTCAGCCCGATCTAAACGTACATTTGATGGGATGAGGAGGGATTTTCCGAATTAGGTATCTCGAAATCAGGTTTCCTCTGCAGTTCATATGCAGCTGTCGGTACATTATCGTCCTGTTTATTACATTTTAAGCTATAACACGGAAGTGGAACCCCTCGGTAACATAGGCTGTCTTGCGCAAAATTACAGGCCGATTAAATATCTCCGTATCATAACCCTAACACTAGCCAATGGTAAACCTTATCCTAGTTTTGGCACCAACCCTCATCTTCCTGGGAGGAAGCGCAGGGCCTCG